AATTCTGGGAGTTGAAGTCCACATATCTTAAAGTTGCTAAGGTTGAGAAACACTGCTCTAGATCAAAAGTCAAAAAGAGAAAGTAAGGCCATGAGCAAAGAAAGGCTGAGCCCTTCCTTCTTGTGTGAGAAAAGAACATTCTTGGCTTGTATATGAGAATCATAATGCCCTTTGTGCAGTTGTAATAATCTCATACATAAATAATCTTACATTAGTATTCCTATTACATAATTTAAAAAAAATTGTTCTGAAATGAAAAGCTGTGTAACAATATATTAACATTTTTCTTAACCATCTTATGGTTTAAATGTATCATTTCAAAAGAGAAAAACAATTCCATCAATTCTGCATTTCTGTTTGTAGAAAAAAAGGCTTTGGAAAAATTCATAAGCTTTTGTTTTTTCCCTGAACATAAGTACAGGCACTTGCAATGAGGACAAATGATGGGATCCAGCATTGTGTGAGAAACCTTTTACTGCCACAGCGAGGCTTCTGCCTCATTTTCCTACTGTAGTTCCCCACAAATATTCTCATTTTCTCTAGAAGGTTGGAAGATTCTCTGAAGTAGCTTTTGAGGATTGGGGGAGAGGGATATTAGGGATGAGGGAAATTTGCCTGCCTCCTCCTGCTTCTATTGTGCTGCCAGAAACAAACCCTCAGATTCAACCTTTAGTTTTGAAATTATGATAATAGAATTAATTATACAATGAAAAGGAAAATTTTAAAACATAATTCTGATTTAGAACTACAAATGATTATCAACTATGTATGTGCAGGCAATCAACCATATATGTGTAGAAATTCAATATTTGAAATTCTGTTTTTGCTTTTTAAAGATGCATTGCCTGAAGGTTTCAGTCAGCAATTTGGTGAAGAACAACAGAAAACTAGAGCTAAATTTTATTCTCCTTTGCCAAGGTGCGAAACTCCTCAGGTGCTAAATAATAAAAAGAAAGAAGATGATGATGAAAAAAAGGTACTTTACTGGATGTGGAGAAACCATAGCATTGTTTAACTTTTTAAAAATTGCTTTAACATATTATACAGGTAGTCCTCGTTTACTGACCACAATTGGGACTGGCAACTCAGTTAAGTGAAGCAGTCGCTAAGTGAAATTGCAGTTGTGCTTATGATCTTACTTTGGCTTTCCTTTGCTTTACAGACCTGTGAAGGTCATAAATGCGAGGGTTGGTCGTAAAGTTACTTTTCATTATTGTAACTGTGAATGGTAGCTAAATGAGGCAGTTGCTAAAGAAGGACTATCTATAAATTAACTGCAGATTGCAAGTGAATCTGAAGATTTTAGGTTGGTTTGCATTAATCATATGAGATGTCATCATATATATGTTTTTTGGGCTTTGATTATGCGAAAAGGGGTTGTTAAAACAGACTGTGACTTCCAAGTAAGCCCTAATAGGGTCATACAGTTTAGTTCTAATTAATGGTACATTTTCAGTACTTTGCTGAACTTGTTTTTAAGATGCATTAACAACAATATATCTGCACTGTATTTCTTCAATATCCAAAGGTAACCACAGGAAAACAAAAACATATCAGTTTGAAGGAACGGATCTTGCATTATGCAGAGCAGCAGAACATTGAGGAAGAAAGTGAGTCTCTGAAAAATTCAGATGAAGAAAAATTTGACCCTGTAAGTTCATGAGCTATTTCATGTAGATCTATGTCTCTATACTATATTGTTGTGATGCACTTACTATATTAAGAGCTGCTTCTCAGGGCCTCCCTAAGGAGAGATGCTTCACAGTTTTTCCTCTTCAGGTGAAAAAGCTTTTGTTGTTTTGGGAAGCAGCAGGCAGATAAGCAAGCCTATCTTTCTAATTAGTAAGTTAGAAACTTTAAGAAACAGAGTTTTCCTACTGAGTAAAGGCAGAGGAAGCTGTGGATTTAAATTTGTGGTTCCTATATGGTTGTTGTGGGCCAAAGCAAATAACAGAACATCAGCAGTCCTTCCCTTTAAGAAAACTTGATCGCAGCTGCACTACTGCTTCTTGTCATTACATCCAAATGGGTGGAGTTAGTGGGAAATGTTCACAGGATTGGATCTAAACTCTGAAAATATTGCTTGAACTTGGTGCAAAAATAAAACCTGAATTTGATTCAGGTTGTAAATAGGAATGTTACCTGTAAGATTGAAATAGATCACCCTCACCATTCACATATTCTGAGGGAAACTTTCTTCAGTGTGAGAATGATAGGGTTCACATGGTACTCAGCCATAATATGGGTTGTTTGGCCTAGGCTTAACATGGTGTGTTAACCTAGGCATTATGGTTTATAAGCCATGGCTTATGGCATACATACAAATCCAGGATGTTGTGCCTTATTCAACAACCCAGGATTTAGCACAATGTGTGAGACCAGCCCATGAGTTAAATGTGGCTTCTAGTGATTTTGCTATTTGTGTGTTCCTAATTTTGAATTGCCATTGCATTGAAAGGTGTTTTGAAAAGCACAGATTTACTTGCAAAGCTTCACACCTTTTGCATGTATATATAGCACAGCTTTTCACATTATTTTTATGAGCGCTCTTATAGAAGAACAAATACCCTCTTTAAGAGTATTCTTTGTAGCATGGAAGGAACTATGTGTGTGGCTCTTTCAACTGTATTTCAAGAAGTGTATCTATATACTAATGCTGGCATCAGAAGAAGACCACAGTGATTGTTAAGGAGCTTAAGCTGGCATTTATTTATGCCTTCAAACATACTTGGTGCGTTTTTTAAAACCAGTGACTAAAATTAAATTGTTAGCATATTCATACAGAGTAACTAGTTTTTCTGGAACAGAATGAAAGATATTTACATTTGGCTGGGAAGCTTGTGGAAATGAAAGAACTAGCAAGTTCTTCTAAGCAAGAGAAAAACAAGCAGGGACAGAAGATGGCACAAGAAAAAATAAGGCGTATTCAACAAGGTAGGAACATTCAATGTTCATTTATTTCCTCAGTCTCAAAAAAAAGCATTCTTTCTCATTTTTGATAAGAGTTATGTAAAATACTACTATGGTGCCATCTTTAATTTCTTTTCTAAAATTGGAAAACTAATGCTAAAAATTGTACATCATGGGTAGCTATAGGAATCCATTTGCCCAGGGGAGATTTCTTATTTTTGTTGCCTGCTATCATTGCATCAACCTGATAAACTCATTGTGGGCTTTATCAAGCAAGACTAGTACAGAGCCAAGTAACACAGCTTGATTATATGTGGCCTGAGCACAAATGGTATGTTCCGATTTGAATACTTTGTCTGAATTCGGAGCAGCATACATATGCTTCTTTTCCATTATCCAATATAATGCTATGAGGTTAGCATTAACATTTGCATTTTAATATTGCCATGTGAATAGTACTAGTATTTGATTCAGCTACGGGGGAAGTCAACAATGATAAAGATTAAATAGGAGTAATATTTTTAAAAGTTAAGTTTTCAAACCCATTTAAAAAAACTTCTCTTTTCCCCCCTCCTAAGCCAGGGTATTTGAGAATCCTTGAATGTTTGAATAAATTCTATTTATATTCCTCCTTCGTGACAGAAATGACAGCATTGGAAGAACACCCTATATTCAATCCTGAAATAAAAATTACAGACCAACCAAGTGAAAAGAAAAAGAGTCCTGTGTTTCTTGAAATGGGCAGTCCCTTGAATTTGAACACGCTTGAGAAATTACAGAGTCCTCCTCCAGAAGAACAAAAAGGTATGGAAAATTTGTTTCTAAAGTTCATAGATATTTTGGGACAACTCTCTGACATCCTGCCATAGAAGTATAAAGAGAAGATCATCCCCAAAAGATCAATCCCCAAACTGATACAGTTTTAATTAATAGCTTTTATAAGAGGTGTCTAAATCATCTGCAAAATCTGTTGTTCAACTTGATCTTTACTTTTGTAAGCTTTGATTCTGTAGGATTCAAGGTTTGCTCTTGTAAGTTGTGAATCTGTAGGAATGCTTTCTTCAGAACAGAATATCACTTCATTTTTTAAATTCATCTATCACAATAAACCCTCCATCCTCTTTGATACTTAGAGCTGCATTTTATTATTCAGGTTTTATCAGCTTCTCAGATCCTTCATTTTTGAGAGATGTGACTCTATATTGATTTATAAAAAATAAAAACCTATCACTAGCTTATGGACTATAAAAGCTTTTCTCATTCTTTCTTCTCTGGTGTGGATAATTTCTAGCCATCATGCACTGTTAATACAGAAGCACAAGCAACACAGTCCACCAACATAGTCTTTCCTATAAATCTGAATAGATTTCCAGGCCAATACTTACTTGAACAAATCAAGCATACCAAAAAAGTGAATAACCAAGCTTTTTAAAAATGCCACCCCGATTTTATCTCCATTATGCACATCCTTTCTTGCAGAAAGTAGCATCATTGATAAAGGCATTATTTAATGCAATTGTAACTGGAGGCAATACTGTAACAGTTAAAGTATGGGCACTGTAAATACATTATTGGCCTTCAAAATCTGAACTACCACCATGTCCTTGAACTCCCAATAAGGGCATAATTTTATGAAAAAGCCCGCAAGTTCCAAATAAATCTTTTTATACCCTATATGAAGTTGAGCTAGTAATGAAAGTTCAGCACTAGAATTTAGGTTCAATACTAGAATTACTTGGAATCTAGTTGTGCATATGGATTAATTGTGCCTGCTTTTAGGAGCTTATATTAAACACTGTTTATATGGAAACATTGATTTAAAGTTAGTTCATCCAAGTCTGGTAATAGTCCCTGTGTTCTATGTACAAATAACTTTTGTTTTCTGTTGCTGATATTAGTGAAAAAGAAAGATCCTCAGGATGTGAGGAATTTTGATTATACAGCTCGAAGCTGGACTGGGAAATCTCCTAAACAGTTCTTGATTGACTGGTGCAGAAAACATTATCCTAAGTCGCCAAATCCTTCTTTTGAAAAAGTTCCAGCAGGAAGATACTGGAAATGTAGGTAGGTATACCTGTGAAGCACATTTTTCACTTGATTATGCTTAATAGCTTCAATTCCTTTTACATTTTTGAAAAGTTATTTTAACAGATGAGTACATACAGCTTGAAATGTAGATTAAATTATTTACCCTCAGGCATGATTGTGCTATTCAGGTCTAATTCATTTGTACAATAATCATTTGAATTAAACAGTTGCAGGTTTTTGAGTTTTACAGGCAAAGGCAAAACTCCATGCCTGTGGCTATTATGAAGCCAATCTGAAACTAAGTTCTCACATATGTCCCTCTGCAAAAGCTGAATCAATGGGATATTGATTTATTTGATTTATATCCTTATCTTGATTTAGTACAACTCAAGGTGGCATAGATAAAGTTTCTGCCTCCTGTTTTCCCCACAATCCTGTGAGGCGGATTGGGCTGAGAGAGAATGACTGGCCCAAAGTCACCTAGAAGAATAGTTAGACAGCAATTTCTCTATTTATGGCCTAAAGAACGACCATTTTTGCCTTCTAAATTGCCTTTGTTAATATACATAATGCAGCTGAAAAATTGTTATTTCCAATTTATATCAAATTTGCTGGAACTCTATGTTTATAAAGCTGACATTGATAACAAATTAGTTATAAATTTTATTTATTTATGCAGTTTATGGACTACTCGACTCATGATGACTCTGGGCAGCTTATATTGTTTCAGCTGTAAGATAAAAGTTTACTTATGCATTAAAATTAGCTATACAAAATATATGCATTATTGTCATTTCATGAACTGATCTGTGGCTTAGCTTATATTTGGCTGCATAGCTCATGCTATTTAGAATTTTTGTGAATGCTTTATAAAATAGATGCCAGACGATTTGCCGTTCAAAATAGTTGTCATTTAATACACTATTTTTATTAAGCTTGATTTAACTATTTTTAAGGGTAAGAGTTATCAAGTCAGCTGATGATACAATGGTGGTGTGTCCCACAATCCTTACAGAAGATAGCATGCAGGCTCAACATCTGGCTGCTACATTAGCTCTGTATCATCTGACAAAAGGGCAGGTGAGATTTTATAATTCCCAATAAAAGAATTTAAAAATTATTTACTGAAAAGGAGTGGTGGCATATATGCACATTCAATATTTGGTGACTATAGCAGAAGATGGTGACCCTTAGAGCTTTGCAGTGTAATGGATTTGACTGACTTCTTTCTTTGCTTTACAGAGTTTCTTATTGACAGCATTTCTTGTTTATTTTATTCCATTTTTTAATCAGGCTGCCTTTTCCACACATTAGAGTCCAGGCAGTACCTGAAGCAACTGTGAATTAAGAATTTTCAAAAATAATAAGTATCATTCAGATACAGAAAAACGTGGGTAAGTCCAACTGAAATTGTTAGAGAGCTTGGCATGATAGCACTAAGAAGCATTTTTCTTTTTAAGCTATCAAGACATCTATACAGTAACTTCGAGAAGCCATTCTATAGTACAAGCTCTTACGCAGTTGCAACCCCCAGGTAAAAAGAATATTGAATAGCCCAGGTGCTCTGTTTTCAAAATTACTGAGGTAGAATCCACTGTTCAAATACATTATGTCATTACGGTCTGAGTCACTCGTCTGAGATGGGCGGCTATATAAATTGAATGAATGAATAAACAAATATTGGATTTTTATGCTGCTGTGCAACTTTCACTGATTCCTGGCAATTTATATCTGTAAAAAACATACACACATGCTAAAAACCATAGAATAAAATGAAAATAATTTCTGGAAGGTTATTAGTGAGGGTGTAGATCTGACTGTAGTAGACGCCTCCCCTTGTGTTAAATCAAGGTTTCACTGCACACGTGATTCAAAACTATTTTTGAAGAGTTTTCAGGGGTTTCTGTTAAAAATAAAACAAAAATTATTTGGGATGTGTCAAAATTATTATATGGAGAACCTTTTGGGAATGCAAGAAGAAGTCATATTAATTTTGGGAGCCACCTAAAATAGGTTGTTGAGAAACAGCTTCTCTTTTGAGCCATCAGTGATAAGGACAACAGTCCTATACATATTTACCTGAGATCAGTTTTATTGAATATAATGCAACTTATTTCTCATTAATTAAATATTATAATATGTAATCCATTACAAAGCATACTTTACTTTAAAATATGCCTTTTTGTGTCTCCTCTTCAGTCAGTGCATCAGTTACTTCCTCCTACATACAGAGATGTTTGGTTAGAATGGAGTGATACTGAAAAGAAAAAAGAAGAAGAAAACAAGGTGGAAATCAACAAGCCTCGTGACCAGTTCATTGCCAAACTACTGAACAAGCTGAAGCAGCAACAGCCACAACAGCAATCTGAAGGCAAGCCCAAACTTTCAGAAGATGCAGAAGACTCTTGGGAGAACTTAATTTCTGAAGAGGACTTTAATGGGCTCTCTCTTGAGACCTCATTTACAGATGACTTAGAACCTGTGAGGGCTCTCTTTAAAAAACAACAGAGTTCTTCCAGATACCAAAGACTTTTAAAGGAGAGAGAGCAACTACCAGTGTTTAAATATAAACATACCCTTATAGAAACTTTGAAAAAACATCGAGTTGTGGTTGTGGCTGGGGAAACAGGTAGTGGCAAAAGCACTCAAGTTCCACATTTCTTGTTAGAAGATTTGCTGCATAATGAACGAAATTTGAATAAATGCAATATTGTTTGCACCCAACCACGGAGGATCTCAGCAGTGAGCTTGGCAACTAGAGTATGTGAAGAACTGGGCTGTGAAAGTGGACCTGGTGGAAGAGTAAGATGTTCTTGGAGTCATGTTCTGAAGACTGCTTATCAGAGAATGTAATAGGACAGCTAATGTGCTCCTAAAAGATCAGCTTATCATGGAACCAATTTTCATTTGTGACTTACAGGAATTTCACATAAGAGTGTTGAGATCATGGGGAAAAAAATGGTAGACTACCATTCAGTAGTAATTTTAATTCCTTATGGAATTGGAATTAGTTGTTCATCAATAATGGTGGCGCAGAGGCATTATCTAGCAAATTGAAGAACAGAATAGTGCTGCATTTGAAGCTCTGTAGGTAGAAGGTCCAGATGCAGACTGAGGCTACACCTTAAGGGTGTACTGAACCTTTACAGTCAGCTTATAAAATAAATTCCTCTTCTGAGGAAGCGTGCTCATCTTTCCATGTCACACTTTTTGAAATATTTATTATACTTTTAATAAATATTAAATCAAAGAGTTAATCTTGTATAGAAAGTATTACATATCCTTTAAAAAAAAACTACAAACAGAAGAGACTAGCTGGCATCTCTTCCTGCTGGGATAGACTAAAAATTTGGGCCCTGCTTTAAAATCATCTGTACCTGCTGTGGAACCAATTTTCTTTTAAACAGGAAAAAATGTATGAGAATTAATATAGGGACGAAGTAATCTATTTTAATTATAATTCAAAGATCTATTAGTAATAAGTTTATTTTAGACAAACCTTTTATTTTCTTCTCTAAGAATTCCTTGTGTGGCTATCAAATCCGTATGGAATCGCGAACAGGAGAGAACACCAGACTGCTTTACTGTACAACTGGAGTTCTTCTTCGGAAATTGCAAGAAGATGTTCTTCTTTCTAAAGTGTCTCATGTTATTGTAGATGAGGTTAGCAACACTTTTTTATTATCTGAAAAAAGCAACATAGTTATTCATCCATATTAACTCCTCTATATCCTTTTCTCAAAGGTTCATGAAAGAAGTGTTCAGTCAGATTTCTTGCTAATTATCTTGAGGGAAATCTTGCACAAGCGTTCAGATCTCCATCTCATTTTGATGAGTGCCACAGTTGATAGTGAAAAATTCTCCAGCTATTTCACTCACTGTCCCATACTAAGAATTTCAGGAAGGAGTTATCCTGTAGAGGTAAGTACATAATTGTATCCATATAACACCACCACTTGATTTAATGTCATATCTTTTCCTTTGAAAATACTATAAGCTGTTAATCTCTGAATCTGTGCTCTGTAGTATTAAAAACTCATAATGGGCTGCCACAAAATTACTTCTGATGTTTAAATGGCTTCATATCCATTGATTGATTGATTGATTGATTATGTGCCATCAAGTCAGTGTTGACTCTTAGCAAATACGTAGATTTTCTCCATGATGATCTGTCCCTAACCTGGTCCTTCAGATCTTCCAGTGGTGCACCCATTGCCACTGTAACTTGAGTCCATCGACCTTGCAGGGGTCTCCTTTTCCCCTCCACGTTTCCCAGCATCAGAGCCTTCTCTAGAGGGCTAGGTCTTCCATAATATGTCCACAGAATGATAATTTTAGCCTGGTCATTTGTGCCTTGAGTGGGTTGATTTGTTCAGTGATCCATTTGTTCATATCCATGTTGCTGTTGTTCAGTTGTCAAGTCGTGTCCAACTCTTC